CTCTCGTCGATCTGAACAATTTTTCCCGGACCACCAATTTTTCCTTGTTCATATTGGTGGTCCAACTGGTATATTACCACGGCCTCTCGGCAATAACTATACCAGTCTGTTATTGTTGCAGATGACAAAGKTTTCCCTTCATTTGTATGGTCCTCGCGCAATATTTGTTCGCGGGACATACGACACGCAAAGCAGTACATCAAAAAGTATACCTGAGGGACACTGATGCGGACTTTTTCAAACCATGTCCCGATGGTTACAGAAACACGTGGCTTTTTTGTGCACGTGCCCCTGTAGCACACAAAATACCCAAATTTGCCCCCTTTCCGTATAGTCTTTGGGACCTTGTGTACAGGGCACATTTGCTCGCTCGCTCGGTATTAGGCCATTTTCCTCCGCAAAACGGACTCCTTGTTCATGCGCGCGCAGCTCGGTGCCAACACGCATAAGGCTCCACTCAAACCGTGTGGACCGCGTTCCTGAAAAAAAAATAATATATTCCAATATTACAATGTCTTATTATTTTTATTATTACTCACCTTTTGCAATTTCGCTCATTGTTTTATAATAATATTTTTAATTTCAATAACGCCGAATAACACGGAAAACGTATTTTGCGTAACTTCAAATTTTTAAATATGGGTAAACATATGAAAAGTACCGTTATGCTTCCCAGCACACATATTAGATGGTATATTGAAATCGTTAAGAAATATAAAGCCTTAATTTGTTTTATACTTAAATTTGTAAAATAGTGCTTTACCGGGATTTCCTCCACAGTATTTTAGCATTTCATTCCTTTTCGCAAAGGCGGCCTTCGGACGCGCTTCAAAAAAATAACCCTGGTCGATCCACACCGGGGTGTTCAGGGTTCTTTCGCGTAGAACTCCTTTCCGTACTGGCGGCCTTCGGCTGCGCTTTAAAAAAATAACCCTGGCCGGTCCAACACCGGCTACGCCATCCACAGTATTTTAGCATTCAACACCTTTTCGCGTTCTCTTCATACATTTATTGCTAAGTCGGTTTAATTTATTCCCTTTTGTTCGTGCTTTCTCGGTAAATTGACAGTTCAAATTAGGCAGTCATTTTGGTTTTTCGCATTATTGAACTCAATGCAGAAAAAGGTATATTTTATTTAAAGATTAACAAAGAAATTAACAATCAAACTAATTAAAAACATTACTAGTGGTTTTTATAATTCATAAGTAATATATGTGCGTGAAAATGTATCCATAATTGGTTTGGTACCATGCACAACAGATGAAAATACACTAGCATATATTTAGAATTTTGCAAAAAATAGCATTTTTGTGTGAATTTGTGGAAAAATTTGTGAACCGATTTTTATAAAATATATTTTAAAACAAAGTTCGATAATTTAAGCATACATGCGTGTTTAAAATTTTCCATTTGGTTCTCTCGTTTAGGTACGGTGAGCCAAAATTAACCGGCGCGATACTAAACACAACCCAAATTTTTTTTTTAAATGGCACATACTCGGTGCCATTGTCCGATCTAAACACCTTTATTTTTCGCGAACATTGATTTGTGCTTGATTGGCACCACAAACAGCTTGTGCGAAAAATCATCTACGAATGTCAACAGAAAACGAACACCAGAAAACGATTTTACCGAAAATGGACCCATTACATCCGAATGTATTAAATCGAGAAAATTTTCTGCCCGAGTACACTGCTTTTAAAGGATGCACGCGTTTGCTTTCCTTTCACACATACTATGCATTTCTCCGTATGTATTAACGGTATTAACGGTATTTGTTTCCATTTTACACATAACTCCGGCACATACTCACCGTTTTTTACAACAGCATTTGTCTTTCTTTTATTAGCAAATAAGCACATATTCACCTTTTGAGTTAACTTTAATTACTTCATTATTTGCTGTTAGAATGTTTTTATTTTCTATCTTCATTTCATTTACAATCATTTCAAGATTTTTTGTCATATATGAAGTAGCACCAGAATCAACAAAGCAATCATCTTTATTACGAATGTCGTGGGAAAGTAAAGATGCAAAAAGAATATTTTTGTTTTTTGTATTGTTATAATTTTGCTTAGTGTTATTAGGACAATCTCGAGCAAAATGACCAATTTTCTTACAAGAATGACATCGAAACTTATTAGAACTCACTTTCGAATTTCATTTTTCTTTCGAATATAGTACATTCTCACCACTCTTATTTGAATTATCAAATTTTACATCTTGCAACAAAAGATTTTTTACACTATCGATGACGAGTTTCTCTTTTATATTTTCAACGGCAAGTACGAGTGGGCGAAATTCGTTCGATAGGCCTGCTACCATTAAGTAGCTGTCAGTTCATCGTCTATATTGAGACCAGCGTTTTTGACTTTAAGTGACGTGATCACAACAGCATTCACATATTCTTGCACTGATACATAGTCACTAAGCTTGCACTGCACTAAATGCTTTAAAAGTTGTACCTTCCGCGTAAGACCCGTGTCTTCATATGTGGAGAACAATGCATTCAACGCTTGATATGCCGTTTCAGCTGTGGCAATATAAGAAAAGTTATTCGGTTCTATCATTAATGTTGTTTCAGCCAATGCACGCTCATCGCATTCTTTATCTTTGTCCGAAATTTCTGCAGGTAGTTCTTTTTCAACTACCCTCCAGSAGTTTTTTATCACTAGATATGATTTCGCGTGGCGCTTCCAAATGTCAAAATTTTCACGCCCCTTCAATTTTTCGAACGGGAAAGCTACCGCGTTTGTCGCCATTTTTTCAAGCAACAAAATCCTAAATTATTTCGTTAAAAATAATCAATCCGCGTTTACCAGATACGAAAACGTTTACTTTACACAATTCCCGAAATATTTTCTTTTTTATTTTGTGTCAAAGGCCCACAACCTGTTAAAGTTGGGATATAATTTAACACAGTAGAATAAAACAACCTGTTTAGCGTGAAATACAAACCAGAAGAGAGAGGACATATTTATTCATTAATTCAGCATAAACATATGATATTACAGAGTTGTATTTATTAGTAAAAAGGGTCGATCTTCCTTTACTTCAACAAACTATTTTAACACAATTTGAAAATAAACAAGAACATGTTTATTCGGAACTTTTCGATTCTTAAAATCGTTGTTGTTTTTGTTTAAATATGATGGGCATGTGCAAGTTTGAGCTTAGTGGATTTAGTTCACTATAGGGATCAATATCGCGTGTCCCATATAATCTTGCTTTGTTTACCTCCTTCCAGTGCCGGATTAAACTAGCGCGAAGCCTGTAGCAAATTCTGTCAAGTGGCCCTTGGTTTGCTATATGTTCTCAAGTTTAGGGTACTAAATAAAACAAAATTGTTACAAATAAACTTTTCTGTATTTATTATAGGCAAATTTAGAGATAATACTTTCAATATCGACTTCTTTAAGCAAGTCATGCTCTATATTCAACAAAGTGAGAACATTAAGACGTTCTTTGGCCATCGTGTTCCTTAATTCATTTTTAATACGTTTTAATGTTGAAAAAGAAAGTTCGCCACTGCAGTTAGTGATCATGAGAGATAAGTAAATTCGCAAAGCATTTTGTAAGTATGGGAAACATGATTCTAAAGAATTATTTAATAAAAGTTTATAGTATTACTGTCAATGACAGTAGGCATATCTGTTTTCAGCAGCTCTGCAAACTGCACTAGCCGATCTGCTGGCCGATCTAAAAAAACAATATGGCTTTCTTTCTTGCAGTACCTAGTATCTAGAATTTCACCTGACTTCAGGTTTCAGGTTCAAGTTTTCTGTGAAGCACGTCATGAGAGTTTTTGAATACATGTTTGTCTTTTCTTGACCAAACCTCTCCAATTGGTGAACTATACAAACGTTGATTCATCTGTAAATATTACATTGAGAGAATCACAGTGGATGTTTTCTTTCGCTCAATGCAAACATTTTTTAATGTGTGTTTTTGAAAGTAAGAGTTTGATTACAGTATATAGTGATAAACATACATATATGATCCCTTTTTAAATATTTTTTTTTAGTTTTTCTTGGATTGAAAAGTGGTTTCTTCTTTGAATTTGAAAAATATTAATGAGATTTCTAAAAAACACCACACAATTTTTTAATAAGTCATGTGTGAACAAAACTGCATTAAATTTAAATACAAACAAGTTTGTATACTCTGGCAACCTGTTGCTACAGAGTATTATAGTTTTGTTCACCTAACGGGTTTTGAAAAAGTGGGCGTGGTCCCGCCCTCTAACAAGTTTAGCAACAACCGAATTTGCTGAGTGGCAATCTTATAAGAACTTCAATCGAGAGTGCGAAAATGGGTGAAATCGGAAGATAACTCCGCTGCTATGAAGATTGGACGATGGGCGTGGTACCGCCTACTTTTTGGTAAAACCCCATATCTCGGTACCCGACAAAATTTAGTGCGTTTCGTTCTTCATACTTCGCAGTGTGAAAAATGTGATGAAATCCGACAACAACCACGTCTACATCTCATATAGTACAATTTTTAATTCCACTGCCAAAAATAGATAAAATTGGAAAAAAATTGAACTTAGGTACTATATATGTATGTAATATCAGGATTTTCGAACATACGGATGACTTTACTATATGTTTTATTCCGAAAAATAGATAAAATCGGGTCGCTTCTACCCCCAACTTCCACTATATATGTATGTACCATATAATAATTTTCGTTTTTTTAACAAACTTTATGCCAAATATGTCGGTCAGAGTAAGAGTTATTTCGATCCTTTAGTTGACGTTTTAAACTTTAAATATTTCCTTGGCTTTGATTCTTGCAAGGTCAAAGATTATAAAATGTTCTTTATTTATAAATTGGTCTACAGGAATAAATATCCGCTTATTTTTTTTTTTTTTA